AAATATCCCTTTATCTTGAATGCAAGTCGAGATATTTGCGAAAAAAGGAGGTGGGGGTCACCTGTTTTCAGAGGTAAAATTAGTGAGGAAATGGCAGCCAAAGATTAGTTTTTTTTCCAAAGCTGAAGAGTCCGAGGTAACTGAAAATTTCAATTTTTTTGGGTGCCTTTAATCAACGTTTTTAAGAAAAATCCACACACAAATGAGTTTTTTAAAGGTCATGAAAGGTGTTGAGCCAAAAATCAAAAATTTGATTAAAATTCAGAAACCTGTGGAAAAATGCAAGTTTCTTCACTTTGATTATTTTGACGAGAGCCTGATTCCACCACGCTGCCTCACAAATTATTATGACCCATTCGACTCGCGACCTTGGCAAACGCATAACTTGTTTTGTTTTTTGTTTTTTTGGTTTGCTGTGAAGGTCTCAGTCACATTCTCAGTTAAATTCGGCGGTGCGGGGGTGCGCCTGTTTTCGTCCCACATCTTCGTTTCACATTATGAAGCAAATGTGGGGCACAAACGGGTAAAATTAAATCGTGACTGGCGGAAGTGGGACGGAAACGGGTAGCGAAGCGAGGATGTGGGACGAAAACGTGTAGGGAAACGAAGATGTGGAGAGGGGGCTCTCGTGGCCTAGAGGTTAAGGTGTTGGCCTCTCATTCAAAGGGTAGCGACCGAAAAATTTTCTTCTCTAAAATTGTCTCCTTTCACCTCACTTCCTGCTCTCTAGCAATCTTCTGTTGTCTGCTTTCATTTTCACTTTCTGCCCCCACCCCCTCACCTCCTTTGCCCCCTCCTCTTGGCTCCTGGCTCTTTCTGCAGCCTTTCTACTGCTACTCCTGGGCTCCTCCTTACTGTTGTCTTTCTGCCACACCCCTGATCTTCTGGTAGGAAAGATCTACACCTAGCCTTCTCGGACAAGGGCGAAGATGGGGAGAGAGAACCGCTAGGTGCACCAGCGTAGGTGTATGACACCGAAAAAACACAATCAATCCAACTCATTTAAGATTGAGGGGGAGGGGGGGGGGCATCCATCCAGGTTCTTCCTTACTTTAGGATTAGGATGGGGATCAACCATTGCTTGGAACCGTCATCTCCCCACTTCGAGATGTGCTTCTTCAGGGGACGGAGCGCTTATGGGGATGCCCCTTGTGCAGTGATGTCGGTCCTTCACACAAGTAACTACATAAGTTTAGGATGGGGCAAGAGCTGGTGTACTATTTTGACACAAGTTGACAGACTTCTACTTAAATTAATTTGACTATCACCTTGAAAATTCAACACCTTTTTGTAAAAAACCCAAGATCGATAGTTGAATCGATGACCGTGTTGTGCCAAAATATGATGGTAATTTTTGCCCTTACGTGGAGGAAAATTTGGATGTCCAGGATTCAGTTCAATATTTACGAATCCGAGTAAATGTGTACACAGCGTCAAGAGAAGAAGAACAGTTAAAGCTTAAATTGAATCCTCGCTAACGATTTAGAGTGAATGAATGCTTGCTCCATTGGGCGTTCAAACCTTGTTCATAAACACTGGTCTAGCACCAGGCGTTAATTGCCGTTGTTAAAAGCTGCAAGCACACATACATTTACACACACACACACACACACACACACTCTCTCTCTCTCTCTCTCTCTCTCTCTCTCTCTCTCTCTCTCTCTCTCTC